GTCTACCGTCGTTGATAGATCATTTCGTCAGTCCCTTTGCTGCCTTTCGGTTTCCACCATTAATCATGCACTTTTGTGCGCCGGTTTTGGTTTCTGTCTCATGACGGCCCATTTGGATCAGGGAATAAAGGGAAGATTGGAATGTTTAAATCAGTATCAGGGTGAAAATAGAAAACTCATTTAGACTAATTTCGAAAGAACTTTAAGTACGCAGATTCTCGATTGGCATGCAACATTTGTCCAATAAACCTTTGTTGACTGTCCAATGGTGCCTCCAGCCTCTTCCGTGTTACATATGTATTCCGTTGACGGTTTTCATCATTGATTAGAATAACAATTTCCGGCATTCTTTTCTTCCAGTCTTGCTGTGATAGACTTGTTCAGCGTTCCAAAGCGAACTCCCACTTTCGATTCCATTCTGATTTTCTCGTTCCATTGAACGATTCAATTGAATTACGATGCCCGCTTCATCATCTGGGCTGTGATTTTATTGCTACCCGCATGCTTCCTCATGCGAAACACAATCAGCTGTTATATAATCCGCGACTGGATCGATTCACCGTTCGTTCGGACATGAAGTTCTCAGACACATCAACAGTTCCCCCTCCAGACGCTTCCGATGGAGATACACATCTGACATGCTTGAATCAGCCAGCTAATGTAGACACACTTCCACCGGAAATTATGCTCCATCTGGGCCAGTTTCTCGATGATGTCAGTCTGTACTGTTTTAGTCAAACCTCAGATCGATTGCATGCACTGCTCACACCCGTACTTCGGCAGCGGATGGTTGTAACACCTCACTGGAAGCGTTGTATCCGTTCATCTTACTCCAGTTCCGGATGGCAAATCGACCGGTTTGTCTGGTCATTACCCTATCGAACCGATGAAATTTTGGAATGGCGTTGGTCCTCTGCTGGTGCGGAAATGGCGGCGCACTTGAAAATCTGTCCGTTCAATGATGTTGTTGTGCAGGCCGAACCATTTTGTCTGACGAATGGGACACGAATTCCTTTCTGATGACTTATTGTTCCCGCCTCCATATTCAGTCACTTTCGACCGCTCCTCATCGAATTGGACATGTTTCAGCGTTGCAGAATAATTATTTCAAACATTTATTTTTGCATGAGCTTTGTCTTTCGTCTTGTTAACCCGGTTCCACCCCCACTCACTCCCTCGTCTATCCCATTGGAACATTGACTCATTCCACCTACTAATCTTTCTTTCATCTCATCAAACCCGTTTGTTTTCTGTTTTATTTTGTTTTGCCCGTTCGATGGCTTCCCATTGTTCTTGTCTGCCATCATCACAGTTCCAGTTATTGAACCAAATACAAAGAAATTTTTTGATCAGTTGCTTTTCTTTCGGTGTGCATTGCGCTATGTTAACTGAAGCGATCCCGAAAGAACGGCGGGGGCGCGGGAGTGTTCTTACCATTCTGGTAGTGCGTGTTGCCAAGTTCAGCAACCTATCTGCTGCTGTGTGTAGTCAACTTTGAAAACTGTTTCACGGAGATTTTTGCTGCACATACAGTGACCCGTGTCAGTGTCACACGTGTTTGATGATTAGTTCTTCGTCTGCAATCATCGTTATGTTTTGCTCACAGTCATTCTTGATGTTTTACAAGATCCTGAATATTGTAGCCACTGTTTATGCGTATCAAAGTCGATTAAATAGGGGCATTTAGTTCTCCAAACAAGCGAAAAAGAATTTAAGGTGAGTGAAATATCTTCGATAGGTCGCTTCCTTGATACTGGAGAATCATAAAATTTCCCGAGTCTTTTCAACGTGCATTTAGAAGAAAAGTTGTGAATCTTTCCGAACCAGGTTGCCTGATCCTTGGGTTCATCAACCGAGCTAAAAAGAAATGAAATAAAACAACAGCAGCGATTGGTGTATCGCAAATAAGGTACCATTCACAGTTCCGGTTCATTTTGAGGTTCACTATCCAACTCGGTGCGTTCGCATTTGTCACCCTGGAGTACTGGAGGATTTATTTGATTATAATGAGCAGATCAAACGAAGCATGAACTGGGAAGCTTTGCACAATTACTTTTACCTGGTTAGGTTTCATCATTTTGTCTGTACATGATATGGCGCAACTCACCTTCGTAAGCGAGCTGAGGGCACTACACCTCGCTGTTCTGTGTGTGCACTAGGGTTACGACTGGGTTAGAAACATTCCGGTGTGTTCATTTTGTTGTCCCTGTATCATTTCACCGGGCAGATTAATGAGGTTGAAACGATTGTGCAATGCTTCCAAGCTTTTCAGTACATGCCTGAGTTGCTATGTTCACGAGGAAATTAGCCGTACATATGAACCGCGAGTCCGATTCCATTCCATATGAAAACATAGTAACATTCTTCGAATTGAGACAATTCAATTGGAAGTTTACACGCGGGATGCGTCAGTGTTCGCGAAGCGTTCACAGATAGCAGGCAGCGGCCTCAATTGATGTAAGTTAGACAACAATAAGCTGTCATTGATCAGTCCAGAAGCTGAGCTTTCTCTGATGCAAAGTGTCCTTTCGCTTCCTTTTGTATTGAATATATAAATGTTTAATCAACTTCCAGGTTTAATCAGAACAGAACAAGACGACAAATAAAGTGGACTGGTAATCAGATGTACAATGATCATACTTTTAAATCGGACAGCTAAATAGATTCAGGGCAGAATGCTCCTCCACCTACTGGTCATCAAGAGGACGGTATTCATTCACTTGTGTTTTTGTATTTTTTTTATTGACAGGCTTTTGTAGGTATGCCTTTATTCCAGTAAAAAAAATCGTAAAAACCATTAAAGAAAAGTCGAAGTGTATCCTCATTACATGCATTCAACCGAGCTTCTGGTGCACAAAGCACTCAGCTATTCGGGTGAATATGGCAGTTAAACAACCTGCACAAGTCTGCCATCTTTCCGAACAGAGGCAAGACATTCGTGCCAATCGAGGAAGAAACGATCGTTTTTTGTCGGAGTTGTTTGATTTAGAGTACACTGCAATCCGGCCCGCTTTTGCCTTTTCTTATGCTCAGCTATCAAGGAGGTAAATGTCTGAATTGTAAAAATACACCCTTGAAATATGAATTTCTTTTGTAGGCACTGTCAAAAAATTGACTAATTCCAAATCAACGGCGAGATTTTTCATCTTCTTTCGGTACCTGGTAGACGGGTGAACTTGAGTCAAATTACTGATTCGGATGTGTCAGATCGCGAACAGTGAGGAAGTGCACCTCTTGTCTGACCGATTTTTGTGTGATGGGTCTGGTGACGATCAGCGCCTGACTGCTAGTTTCCTCCCCACCCCCATCGTCCTTGAGCTATCGTTTCGTTTTGGGTGGTGCGGGCGCAGTGGTTTAGTCGCTGTCACCGGTGTGCTTTGAACCTTATGATCCGAGGTTCGAGCCCCACCACCCGACTTTGGTGGTAGACAGCTTTGCTGTCGTCCGGTTCAATACCACACCTGACCTGGGTCGCCACTCCAAATCTCGGTGCTTAGGTTACCGGTTTCCATGAGTGAACAGCAGGTCCCTGTGACTATGGGGTCTACCCCGTCTGTTGTCCATCACACTAAAGTGTGTAATGAAAAAACCTGCAATGAAATTCCGATTCATACACGTGCACGTTCACCTGTGGTTATGAGGACAATACAGGTCTGACCACACTTTTAAGATTTATATTAAAGACTCAGGAAAGATGAATTTTTGTGTGACTGTTAGGTTCTTGTATTCCTGGCAGCAGATTGATTATGTTGAAGTTGGATTGGTATCAGCGCGCGATATTTATGGTAAGAACCATACAGGAAGTTTAAGTGAAAACAACACGTCAATCAATACCACACATATCAGTTTCATTCAACTATGATCAAATTCATGCTTGTTATGTGAATAAGAGAAACCCTGGTGCAGTGTCCACGCCTCACCACTCATGCATCTGATGTATGAACTAGCTTTCCTGATGCCTGTGGGATAATGCTCACCATGTTCTGGTACCTAGTGAGGCTATCACTGCTTTTGGTAATGCATTGCGAGTACACCGTGAGCTTTTTCGTGATGGAAAGTTGGTAGCAGAATCAATTGCACGTGTATAAGGTTTCCTGCTTCCGTTATGCCTAATAAAAGAATCGGAACTCGACCGAATCGTATTTCATTAATGAAATGGCTTGTGCACCTCAGTGACCTAACCGGATGGCGTTTGTTAAGCCGAAGATTCAGTCATGCATAGAACTTTCAAGGTAAGAGGTCAGACAAAGTTCAGTCGCGTGGTCTTCCATTCGAGATGGTGCCTCAATCGGCAAAAATTGTGGGGTAGTAATTCGTCAAAGTTGATGGGCCTCTACGTGACCTTATTAAAACTAGACCTTCGTTGAAAAACAACACACTGTAGGCAAACATGTTTCACTGAATTCCTTTCAAAGCCTTTACAATCACATTTATATGACACAATATCAATGGGGTCAAAAAGAACGGTGTATGAGACATGTATTCGGTAATGAGCCCAAAAGAACTCGAAGTTTTTGCGCTGTTTGGATTACATAACCAAAAGTCGCTATGTTACGTCATGGTCATATGGACAAGTGATTTTCTTTTCCGTTGACCAGGGGAGTTTGAGAGCTTGGAGAAGTTCGCGCCGTACGCATCTGACTCATGAAGCCTGTTTCACGAGTCGGATGTTAATCGCCTCTGCGGTTGCAACGTCCGAAACCGTATTGCTCTCCAGGTGTGTGGTGAGACAGGATAAATGATTGTAAATGCCGAGTGCATGTCAACCAAGTGTCCCGTCTCGACCAGATGAGCAACGATTGAGATTGACCCAATTTCCCTCCCCCCTGTGTGAGCCAGCGTGAACCGCTCAGATAGTAATAATCCGAACAGCGCACAAATTTTGAGTTCTCTTGGGCTCATTGTCAAACCTATGTCTAATCCATCCCTCTTTTTGACCCCACTGAGATTGTTTCATATCAATATGATTGTAAAGGCTTGGAAAGGAATTCAGCGAAAACATAGTTTCGTCTATGTTGTGTTCTCAATCAATGGGCAAATATCGTGATTTCATTGAAAACCCTAATCGTTCTACGGTATAGTAGTTAAACTCCATACTAGTACCCGTCCATAATGCTCCAATCTATATGAACTGAAAATAATTCCATATGGTACCGGTCGCCGCGCAGGATAATCATGACCACGCTGTCCATTGAATCGCGCGGGGTGGGCCGTAATAATTGGGATACTGCCTAGGTATCTTCGTACAATTTTATGTCTTCACCTATTCTCCCACCTGTAGCATTTCATCAACCAACAAGTTTTCTACTCGCCAAAGCTCGTTGCCAAATCAGTTCAGTTTTTACAAAAATGCATTCTCATGTGCTGGTTTTGGTCACGGTATTTCGATTGCCCATTTGGATAAAAGAGCAAAATGAAGTTTAGAATGTTGAGAGTAGAGTGAAAGAGAAGATAGAGAATTCATATGGACTAGCATTGCAGGAATAATGCGTAGATAGTACTTACTCTAAGTAGTTTGCCGCTGTATAGGTTGCACATTCTCAAACCACGTCAAACTTTAAATCTGAGGGCCCTCAACATGAGGACTCTGATGCTGGTGGGTGCACGTTCTGTTCTCGGGGCGTCTAATCGGTGGAACATCCAAAAACGGAAGGCAATCGTCCTCTTCTGGTTCAGTTGTGAACGTAATTGACGAATGTGCTGCTTTGAATTCCGAATCGACATGGGCAAGATTAGTGTTCTTATTAGTCACGCAAAAGATATCATCTACGTAACGGTGATATTGATCAAAACAACTAATAGCCGTAGACAAGGAAGTTGTCTCCAACTATTAAACCCTCAACCGCTGTGATTGAAGAAACGTATCACAACACAAACCGTCACTTCAATCTTTGAGTTAGGTGTTTGTGGAATAAGTGAAAATGATTGTTCATCACAGATCGCAAGAGAAAATGTTATCACTGAGTCGTACACTAAGTCCACTCACAACACAAGGACATTTCCCAAGCCATCATGAACGG